TAACTCTGTGTGTTATGGAGGTAGTTAAATCCACTTTAAGAAAGGATTAACAGCCTTTACCAGGGCCATAAATCCTGTGATTAACTTTGCAAAAAACCTGGGGAGTTTGCAATCTCTCTTGATTTCTCGTGCTCCCCGAGGTGTCAGTGCCTCAGGGTTGCACAGGTGCCACTGCAGAGATGTAGACCAGCAGTGTCAAAGTTTTTGTGGTACCCAGGTGTAGTCCTGTTTACAGCCAGGAGCTGGACTCCACGATCCTTGTGGGTCTCTTCCAGTTCAAGATGGTCTGTGATTCTGCTTTCTATGAAAAGTGACTCCTTACGCCCCAGACGCCCCATGGACTCGGATAAACGAGGCTTCTGAAATTAAGCAGGTGATTTTTGCAGAGACACACAGCCAGGTATGAGAGATCTCAGTTGAGGGAATTGCTGTGCCCCTCTGGAAGCTGGAACTGGGATGTTCCGAGCACGGAGGGCATGGGGCACGTCGTGTGCCAGTGCCAAGTGGCTGCAGCCATGTGTTCTTAATAAAAATAAGGTTTATTGTTTCCACACTTCTTCTGTCATCTTTTTGGAGTTACAGAGGCAATAATTAGCTGGGGACATTACAGATGCATTAATTAACCAGGCTGGAGAGCACAGGGCAGCCTGCAAAGCAGGCACTTATTGGAATTTGAAGCAGAGACAATGCTGTTGTTTACTGGGGAATGTAGGAGTTGCCAAGCACTGTGTCCCCACGCAATTAAAACACCACTGCACATGTGCTAAAAAGGAATATTTGAATGGGATTATGGAGCAATTACAAGTTGTCTTATTGTGCTGGCTCAGTGTACCCCTGGGGTTACAGAAAGCAGCTACTGCAGGAAGCTGGCAGTGTGCAGGATCTGGTTGCTGAAAGCTTTCTATTGTTCCTGCTTTAATTGGATACTTACAGCAGGAGAACTGGGATCGTGTCCCTGGAGCTCAGGTTCACTGTCAGGTACCCCCCCAGGGAAGGAGCTATTTCAGGCTGGGATTATAAGGCAGGAGTTTCCTTAGAGTGCCTCAGGCCTCCACATTCACAGGGACACCCCACCTTGGCCTTGGGGATTTCTCCAGGACGCTTTGATGTAGCACTTGAAAGGCTGTGATAAGAATGAGCTGGTTCATTCACAGAACTGATCCTGGAGCCTCTGAGGTCTCCTCTCCTGCTTTGCTGGGTTTGGAGAAGACACCTGGAGGTGTTTGGGATTTCTGATGCAAAACCAGCTCTGTCTGAAGGAAAAAGGGCTGGTTTGTTTTAACCATCTCCTCACTGCACATACATGTGCTGCTGGTTTCCAACCTTCTGGCCTCCCAGCACAAGGCAGCATCAGGAAATGGGATTATCCCTGCAGCCCATGCAAACAGCCTGGGAGAAAAGCCCTTGCCCAGGGAGCTCAGCAGGGTCAGTGGCACAGATCTCCTGAGAAAACCTGCAGCAGGACTCCGAGATCAGGAGGACACAGAGACCAACAGGACTCAGAGCTCAGCAGGACTCAGAGATCAACAGGACTCCGAGATCCTCGGACTCCCTGGGCTGCCTGAGTGTTGAGCAGACTCAAAGGAGTGAGGGGTTTAACCTCTTCCCCTCGAGGGCTGAGGAGCCCAGGCAGGAGAGGCTGCACGTTGTGGTGCCACCGCGTCAGGAGTGGGCTCGCTCTGGTCTTTAGTTCTAGAGCAACAGCTGAGAGCTCCCTGAAAAGCTTCTGGAAGAGCTTCTCCTTAAGGCAACACCACCTGGGGTGGTTTTTTTCTCCCCTGATTTTATTTTTCAGAGCAGCCTCTGCACTTCCCGGTTCCTTCCGGCCCAGGAAGCCGAACAGTGTGACTAACACTGCACTTGTTGTTCCTGCCCAGAAGCAAATCCTCCTGCAGATCCTGGGGGGGGAATTGGCTTTTCAGTCTGTGATACAGAGCTGGAGATTTCTCAGTGTGCCACTGTCCCCCTTTTCCCCTTTCAAGAACCAAAAGCAACTAATACATCCTGGCCTGGGAGCTTTAAACTGAGGGAAGCAGTAAGAGACCAGTCAAGTTTTGCAGAGCACTTGCTTGTGTGGGTGTCTTTTAATGGACTGTAGCAATTACGAGAACAAAATATTCATCTTTTTGCCAAGGTGCTTTGGGTTTTTTTAAAGGAAAGGAGTTTTCTGGTTACTCCGAGATTTCAGTCACTCAGCTGAGCTCCCATGGGGGGAATAGATGATCTGTTCTGCCCTGAAATATCTAACGTTTTGGCCCCTTTACTTTAGATTTCTGTCTGTGTGCTTGGGGCTGCAGGAATTAGACTTGGAAGTATTGACCAGGAACTGGGTCAAGTACATGTTTTGAATGTATTCCAGTCAGGCCAATCTCTTACTCTCCACAAGAGAACAGTGGGAAGACTTTGTCAGGTCAGGTTTTCCAAATTTCACCAGAATTAATTCCAAAATCATAACATAATTAGGACAAACCCAAGAAAAGCGTTTGGAAGAAAAGTCAACCTTGACATTGGCCGGTGATTCCAAGAGGATTTGTTCACAGTTACACTTATCCCTGCTCTGCAAAGCTTCTCTTTAAACTTTTCCAAAGCAAATAAACTCTGATCCTTGGGGCTGAGAAGCAGCTTAATAAGTATCAGTTTCCTGTTGCCCACTGTTCACTCAGCCCAAAATCCATTAAAACATGGGACTGGACACTCCAGAGGTATTTAAAAGCCAGTTTGTCCCATCAGTCATGAGGAATTGGGGCCCTGTCACTTTGTGGCTGAACATCCGGGGGTCTCCACCTGCCATGAACAATTCGGCTCATCCAATTAGAGAGTCCAGTTTTTAAATTATTATTTTTTCGATAAGCCATCACTCCACGTGATGACACGCTCTGCAGATCCTACATTCCCTTCCCTTCCCAAACCTTCCCTTCCCAAATCTTCCCTTCCCAAACCTTCCCAAACCTTCCCAAACCTTCCCAAACCTTCCCAAACCTTCTCTTCCCAAATCTTCCCTTCCCAAACCTTCCCAAACCTTCCCTTCCCAAACCTTATTTTCCTTCCCAAGCCTTCCCAAGTCTTCCCTTCCCAAGCCTTCCCAAACCTTCCCTTCCCAAACCTCTCCTCTCCTCCCCTCCCCAAACCTTCCCAGACCTTCCCTTCCCAGGGAATTCTGGCCCTGCTGGAGCTGGGGAGGGATGGGGTCGGACCCGGGGGAGGGCAGGGAAGTGGCTCCCCCTGCTCAGGGCTCTGTGGGTCAGGGTTGGGGTGCCCTGGCCGGGCCGGGGGTTGTTCCCGTGCCATTCCCATTCCCGTTCTCATTCCCATTCCCATTCCCTGGCGGTGCCAGCAGCACAGCACGAGGGGCAGGGAGCGGAGGGCACGGAATCCCAGGAATCCGCCCCTTTCCCGGGGGGCTCAGCTGTTCGTGTGAGGCTCGTTAAGCGAAGCCGTTCGTGTGTCCCGGAGCACCCAGGGCTGGAAACGACACGAAAGTGCTTTTAGGGGAGCGCAGCGGTCGGGTGAGCGCTGAGCCAGCGCTGCATTAACATCCCTCTCTCTCTGCCCAGGGATGACTTGCCAGGCTCGCAGCTCCTACATGGACACCGAGGTGCTGTGGGGACACCGCTTCACCCCCGTGCTCACCCTGGAGAAGGACTTTTACGAGGTGGACTATAACAGCTTCCACAGCACCTACGAGACCAACACCCCCGTGTGCTGTGCCAAGGAACTGGCCGAGTCCCGCCGGGAAGGGCAGCTCCTGGGCCACCTCTGCGGTGCCACCCTGCTCAGCGGGGGCAGGGAGGCAGAGACAGCCCGGGAGGAGGAGGAGGAGGAGGAGGAGGAGGAAGGCAGGGAGCCGGCAGGATTGGATGGAGCCAATGGCACAGCAGGAGAGGTGCCCGTATAACCCACCGGGAGACTGGTGTGGAGGGCCGGGAACTGCCCGGGAGCCAGGCTGGGATTGTGTCCCGAGCTCTGCTCCTGCCGCGCCAGCCCGGCGAGCCCCGCACAGCAGTGCCTGGTCCCCTCCCTCTCCTCTGTACAGCGAGGCTTTGCTCCCCCCTGCAAGGCTCTCTGATCCCTGTGGACGAGGCTCACTCCATCTCACCGCCGGTAAAACTGAAATTCCCACCACTGGTTGTCTCAAAAGGTGTTCGTTGGACATTCAGAACTCTTCTCCTTCCCGAGGGGGTTCAAAAAGTCCAGAATGGCCCATCTCAGTATGAAGAATGTGATTTCATACCTTCACTTAATTTGTGAGTCAATGTATTGTAGACATTGTTACAGCTAAATTAAAAAAAAAAAAAAAAGAAAAAAAAAAGTCTTCTTGTATATAGTGAAGTATTTTGCCTTCATGAATTTTACAAATAGATTTCAGTGTTTTCCTCCAGGATCACAGGCACTGTGATTTATTTGCTGCAAAATCTGATGTGATCGGGGCAGCTTTCCCTGCAAACCTTTAGCATATTTATCCAACATTTTGTCTTTTTGTCTTCTCCAACTGAAGTGCTTTGTGTCATCTCTTCATGGAATCTCTGACACCTTTCACAGGCTGCCCATGATCTGAGTAAATTTAGATCTTGCCCCAGTGAAGGTTTTTTTCTGGCTTGGATGTTCCAGTTTCAGTTCCAAGTGATGATTTCAAATAAAGGAAGTAGCTATCTGGGACTTGAAATGTTTTGGACTTTCAGAGTCCCTGGAGTAATTCAGAAAATTCTTTGCTCTTCTGCAAAGTATGTATTTAAAATAAAGGTTGAGATGCTGATGTTCCTGTAATGGGAACACACACTGACACAACTGAAGCCACCAGTTTTGATCTTTAGAAGGGGTAGAGAACCAGATTTCCAAAGGGGCTTGTCCTGTCCAGAAAAGGAATGAGGAAAAATAGTCTGTGAGATGAAAGATTTCCACAAATTCCAACAACACAGGAAAAAACTGGCCTTGTTGGGGAAAATCTTATCTCTCAAACTTTGGTGGAAAAAATAAGACACCTGCAGAAGTACTTCTTTATTAAATGGAATGAAGAATATATAATATGGAAGAGTTATTTTCCATATAGGAGTGGACTGTGAAATAAATGTGCATTGTAGTAGGGATGGACTGAGCTGCACACTCGGGACCTGAAATATGGTTTTACCTCTTTATATTAATACAAAGACAAGCTAAACTGGAAATATGTCTTATTGACATGGAAACAAAGGGGAGAATATTATCTATAGGGACCAGAGATACTTTAGAGATGGATTGTTAGAATGTAGATAAAAGAGAAATTTGAGTTTTGTTCTTTTTTTCTGAGGAGGTGACAGAATGAACACGACATGATTCTGTTGTGCTTAATCCCCTGTTAAGAACCAGCAACCAGTTTGGCCTCCAGGATACAGGAATTACCATTATGTTACACAGGAACTTTCCAAGTGAAGTAACTTCATTTGAAATACTAGTCAGTTCTAGAAAGCATCTTGCAGACTGTGAGAGAACAGTGTTTTTCCAAAGATCTCATCTTAGTTTTTCTGCTCAGCTTCCTCTTTTTCCATCCTAAGCCTCAGAGGAACAGGGGGCAAAAAACAGGGAGAAAAATCAGATTCTTAGAAGGGTTTGTTCTTTTTCTGATCCCTTCTCTTCTCCCCCTACCTCTGCAAGATAATTATGTGTCAAAACCAGTTTTCAGAGTTTTTTCACTCCGTAGCTGCAGTGAACTAACAGAGGAGATGGGAGTGGAAAGTAAAACTGCAAAGGATGTGTGCAAGGCAGAAGCAGTTTGAGCTCTCAGAGGATGTTATGTAAGCCCTGCCCAACGAGCTGCCTTGTCCAGCTCAGTTGAACAGGGTTTGATGGGTCCCTCCTGGGAGAGCCTGCGAAGGCCCCTGGATTCCCTGCACACCTTCCCTTTCCTGGCTGGAACCAGAGAGAAGGAACCACCTCCAGACATCCAAACCCCTCTTTCCTCTGCTCATTGCCCTCGAGACTTCATCACACAAAACTGCTCCTTCCTGGCACTGTCAGCTCTGGGAATTCACAGCCCTGCACACCGGGAATTCCGGCTGTGCCACTTCGGACACTGCTGGCTGGAGAATTGCTGAGGGCTGGGCTGGGGAGCAGGGTGAAAATGCATCCCAGTGCAGGGGATGGGAGACAAGGAAGGTGTTTCTCCCCTCTCAAAGCCCTGGAGCAGCTCTGTGCTCTGATGGCTTCATGACCTCGTTCTGTGCTTGGAATCTGCAAATCTGGCCAAGTTAAGTCAGTGCTTCCAACAGTGCCCGTGGGAGCAGCTGCCACAGAACTTCCCTGGGTCTCTACAATTGGAGACACAACTCATTCCTCAATGAGCTGGGCAGATCTGGAGGAGGGTGTCCCCTAGAGCTGGGTGCACCCCATGTTTTGTATATTTTTTAAACCATATTTTCAAGTTGTGCAGCCTGGCCATCAGTTTTTTGGGTTTGGTGACACAATCCAGTTGTACCCTTTCCAAAGCATGGCAGGCAGGCTCCAGGGTTGTCCTTCTCCTGAAATCTATCCCAAAGAGAGATTTAGGGGGCATATTGAACTTTTCTGAAAGGAAGGGATAGCACCTCTTCCAGAATTGTCATCTCTGGAAATTATATCACTTTATTATATCAGTTTCCCCACTGTTCCACAAGGACAATAAACCATGGGAATAAAAACATAATAGACCCACTCTCTGTTTTAATGAACATTTAAATACAAGTCTGCATCTCTTATGTGAGTTCAAATAGCTCACATAGATATGTCCACCCACATAAATATCCAATATAAACTAGACACTCATCAGTGTACTTTAAAAAAATATTAACTAATACTCCACAAGAAACATTTATAACCTGTAAACACACTATTCATGCACAAATAACCATTCACATTTCCATAATGCACCCAGTAAACAAGCTAAAAATACATATTCAAAAGACTGAATAATTACATCTGCTTTATGAATGTATCACTGATAAGCCAAATTCACAACAGAATCCATCCACAACTTCTGTAGGAGCCACTTATGCATTTGTACAGAACAGCAGCTCTCAGAGCTGCCTCTGTTGTGTGTGTACACAGAATATACTCCCAAACACAAACATTCCTGCCTGAATCCTGCATTTTAACACACCCCCTGAGGGCTTTATTATTCCTCACGAGTCCAGGTGCCTCCACATACATATAAATTGTCTTCCCAACAGGCAGAACTACACGTTGAGATGATTTCCCAACAGCCCAGAGCTAAACCCTGCCTGGCACACACAGCACATGTGTCAGAGTCGGGGCTGGAGGCAGAATGGGATCCCAGGTGTGTTTGTGTCCTGCAGGCATTAATGAGAGGTTTGGAGCAACCAAAAGCTGCGTTTCTGGTGCTTTATTTTCCTCCCTGTGGCAGGAGCTGGAAACACTTCTGTAGCAGGAGAGCTGATGGGCAGGCTCTGCTCCCAGCAAGGCTTTGTGTTCTCCTTGCTTTCATGGAGGGCTTGGGAATGCAGTGGGAGGGACCCCTGCACACCCACTGAGTTTATTCCATCCTTTGCTTTCCCAGGCCCAGCCTTTGAGCTGTTCTGGTCTTGGGCAGTGCCACTGGTGCTCCTGGATGGCCAAGCTGACCCGTGTGCTTTGTGTGCTTTTTTCTCCTGGATGAGTTTTTATATTTATGCTTATTTAGACTCCTTATTTTGACTAAAGGATATTTCTTAAGCTGATCTGAAGATATCAATGCTCTCAGGGACATGGTGTGACTTTTAGAGTGTCCTGTGCAGGGCTGAGAGTTGGACTCCGTGATCCTTCCGGGCCCCTTCCAACTCAGCATATTCTGGGATTCTGTGATATCATGAAAAAATCCGGCCCTTCCTTGGCAGTTGGTTCCAGTGGTTAATCAAAGTGGCTGTTTGCACATTTACTTCTCATTTTATTTTGCCTGGAACTAACTTTCACTCATTGTGAAACTCGTCACTCATTTTAGGCTTAAATTTACTGCCTCATTGTTTTGTCTCTCTCGTTATTACAAATATATTTCCATGAGAAAGAGCAGATCATGAAGCTGAGAGAAGAGGGAATGTTATTTATGCTCAAGTAATTAATACCCCATGATAAGCTCTGCTTGTTGCCAGCCATATCTGCTGCAATATATGAGGGGCAGGTTGCCAGGATGTGTTAAGCAGCAGTTTGGCAGATGATGGAGAAGATGCTTAATTAAGGTACGGGGAAACCAGACAAGCTTTGAGTCCATGCAGAAAAGGGTTTCCATTTCAAGGCTGGTGGAACAGTGATTAACTACTGAAAGTCTGCTTTGAGTGACACTTCATATCCAGGGGTGCCTGGTCATCTAGAAGGCTGTGAGAAGCAGCAGAACTTACTGCTGGCATTTTATTCCGTGAAGAAGTCAAGGCCATATTCTGATTTCATTTTGGGTGGTCATTCTCTCTCAGGGAAATGTGGAGATGCTTTAGGGGATGGAGGGGAAAGTTGCATTTTTAGATGCTCTTGTGCATAAGAAAACGCACACAAAGGCTCTGCTGAACAACTGGGGCTGGTGAATCCCTTCAGCTAAAAAATAAATCCCGATTCTGCAGCTTTGATGGAGGAAGTTTGTTATTTGCCTTGCAGGACTGTTGAGTTGTCCTGCTTAAGGTAGAACCAGGTAGAACAAACATGCAACTACTTTCCCAGGAAGCATGAAATCTAAAGTTCCACTGAAATCTATATTTCATGTGCTGATCTGAATGCAATTCTAGAGCTACTTCAGTTTAACAAGCATTGAATGTCACTGTACAAGCAAGTAGAGGATCCATCTCAGTGGGCTGATCTGAATGAGGGAAAAAACCCAACAGCCTGGTTTAATTAACTCCAGTAAAACCAGGAGTAACTCCTCAGAATCAATTCTATATTTTGGTTGGATTAGTGAGGTCAGAA